GTAACATAGATAACATAAGTGATCTCGACTAAAGGGAAGGAAGCCGTCAAGTTTTTCGGCATTGTTCCAAGTTGACTTCAATCAAGATCCCATTCATCCTCAATAAACGCTTCTGTCTAAGCACTTTCACACTTCCTTCACTCAACCATATCCTTATCTATGTATACGTATTTGTAATTTTTTTTCAAGGCGTTTTTTTTCTATGGATCTCATCGGGAACAACGGCAAGAATAACTAGAGGCGAGGGATTTCTACCCTCCATGCCGAGTCAGCATCCATTTCAAGATTGCGGTTGTGTTATAGTAAACCTTGCAACAAGCTACTAACTTATATTTCCGAGGATGTGCAGCATCTTGTGCTGCAGTAAGTTTCCTTACTCGAGAGAGATTAGGATATAGCTACGTACTAAACAGTTACTTATCAATAATAAATACGAACATTCCCAATGTTTGCTTCAACTGCAGCTCTACTTCATATCACGCTTTTCGGCTTCTTTGTTGAAGTAACATAAAAAACAAAAAGAGTTAGGGTGTACTGTGCCGTCTCGTTGCAGAAATTGATCTGTTTCGTATTTTGCATCAAACGCAAAAGCTTTTCGTCTTACTACTGACGGGTATTCTTTTCAAGATTACGTTTGTCTAATAGCAATTTTTCCAACAAGCAAGAACTTTCCTTGCTTAATTGAGATAAGGATATGAACACATGTTAAACGGCTACTAGTCACATATAAATTCATCCACATATGTGAGCGACCCCACTTTAAGTCGCAATTTTTCTTTTACAAATGTACACACAAATTTAAATCCGATTGTTTTTGGCTCCGTCCCGTAAGAATCCTGCAGTCGTACCCAGGTTAAATTGAATATCACTATCTGTATCAATTTCCTTACTCCATATTACTTTCTCCATACCCATCCCCATTGTACAGCATCTTCTCACCCTTTTACGTCGGTTGTCAAGATCAGGTCGGCTTTAGGTCATAACACAAAGTTTCGATTTTTTGCGGACAATCTTGCTTAACTGTTTTCGAACTTCTTTTAAGCGCTTCTGTGTTCTTTAGAACTTATATATTTAACGACATCGTGCGATTAGTTCTTCCTCACAATTTTAGAATTTATTGTTCTTTCTTATTATTATTATTGATATTGGATATGGCACTTCGATCGTCAGGTCTTTGGTGACCCCTTCTGGGCTTAGAATATGTCTCAAAGTTCTGTTACTTCGATAAAGAGTAGCACAGAACCTACTTTACAGAGTTTAATTGCCTCTTCCGTAAGGGTATACATTCCTATTGTATCTCTTACAAAAGAGTAACAAAGCTACTAGTGGAATGTACATGCAAGTAAGTTTTTCTAAATATATGTATATCTTATTTATTCCATTTACTTTTTAACCGGAGAAAAAAAACTACGATAATTAAATCTAAAACAACAAATATTAAGATGAGTCAGTAGATGAATGTTTTGGGATGATAACTACACCCTTTATACATAATTTAAAAAGTTGAACACTCCCACATTTATTTAACACGAAGTGACTCTGACTCAATCATTCCATAGAATATGAATATATTGAATAAGTGAATCTGACTGAGCATATTTGAATAGATAACACTTATACAATGGAAACCGTGTTTTGAAGAATTGAAGATTAGATAAAATGACAATTTCAATTCTTGAAAATGTTTATGTTAAATTAACATTTAAAACTATTTAATTTTTATCTTTGTACAAATTACGGGGAAGCATCTGAGTTTTCATAGAAATTATAAAATCAGTAGTATGTATTGTATCTATAATATTGTTGGTGAGTTTAAAATAATATAGATTATCATAGACTCGCTAAATGCAGTTGGGTACTTTAGAGAATTTACGCCGTGTCGAAGTGCTTTTGCTCTCTTATCTCCAGGCTTTCAGTTTTATGTGAAGAATTTTATTTTCTATATACCACAGTGTTTTCATAATGTTTCCAAGTGAACGTCTTTGGACAGTTGACATCTGTTCATTGCTGATTCTGAATAGATTAAGATTTTCTAAAGTTTACTAAAAGAACAGTCCTTGTTTTGAACCCTTGACCTTTCTTAGTGTGTTGTAAAAATTGAAAAATTTATCTTTTTAATTATTCGTAAATTTTTTTTAAATTAATTTTACTTTCTCTTACTTGTAATGAGTTTTTTATAAAGTTTATCCCATTCACGTGCAAATAAACTCCCAGAAAAAGAACCTTTCAATTGTTTGGACAGTGAATGTTTGTCCTTTCGTAACGCGAGGTACTCATAACATAAAAGGACTGTAACCATTTTGTTACATGAAAAAGGCCACTGATTTCGTTGTCAATTATACGTTATTAATTTTCCATAATGAGTTTTCATGACTGTGCAATGACAGGACACAACAGGATACAATAATGGAACGCCTTTCATTGTTGTGTTTGGTAATCAATGCAACTCGCTGACCAAAGTAATTAACATCAGTTTCTGATGAATGAGCAGAGTGCATTTCAGTGCATTTAATTGCACTCATGGAAAGGTCCTTACGAAATAATATTAGGGGATTGTGAAGTGCTCGATAGTATAAGAAATTATTGCAATAATAGTTTCATGCTATTGATAACGCGGATTGAAAAATGATGAATGGAAGAATTACAATGAATTTAAATTAAAAATTTTTAAAGTTGCAAATTTGTTGATATTTCAGTAGTGGAGTGTAGTAATTCTTAAGAGTACTTCAACTATATTCTATTCCAATGGTAAATGTTTTATTTTAGTTTAATGTATTTATTCCTTGAAAAAGGCAAACTTGTTTCTTCTGTAAACAATTCTGTCAGCTGCAACTGACAATGTTTGTAATGCGATTTTTTCATTCATACGTCAGTCCTTTCCACTTCGTATGACTCTCATGTGCATGTAAGGGCCTAAGAGGCCTGTGGTGTGGAGTTGAAATTCGCCACATTTGGCAATTTTTGTGTCAATGTTTGCAGAAAATATTTTTCCAATTTTTTTTCCATAATTGCAAACAGTCCACACAGGACATTCAGGACATTCAGTGTTGCCTGCTGGACGCTGTTGCCTGTTGTCCTATAGTCATTCTTGTTTACTGTTCGGGCAGAACTTAACGTTTTGAAATTTTATGCTCACAGTACTCGGATGTGTGTCCTTTGGCACAGCCTTTGTGCTTTTTGCGGTATAACGCTTGAATAAGTGGCATTTTTGTCATATTTTATTGAGGGTGTTTCCAGGCTTTTTATTTGGCTTTTTATTTTTATTTTTATTTAACTTTGTCATATTTGCTGAGGCTGCTTTATTTCTGAGTTATTTGCTGTTGTTACTTCGTACCAATTTTTTTTTTGTTGCTGTTGTGTCTCCGAAAATTTTGGTTGGTGCTTTATGGAACACATAAAAAACTTGACAACAACATTCAAATAACAATTTATTGTTAGCATAATAACGCAATGTTTACCCACTTGTCTAAGGATAATCCGTCGTAATTACGAAATGAGTTATTTTTTAACAATTCCTCAGTGCTCCAAAAGTTTTAATTTGTTGGCTTTAAGGATTTAAGAGTTTTCTCTAATAAAAAAATATTAAATTAAATATGTATGTAATGCCTCACGAAATAATTATTTGACCATAAAGTTAGGTTAGGCTGAAGTAGTGGCCTTGTACAACAAAACTCCCTTGAGCATAAATAATAATAAAATTTCTGTTGTTGTACCATGGTTGGGATATTATTCGTATGCCAAACCTACAGCACTACCCAAGAGATCTAAAGCAATTCCAAAGCATTAAATACACGAACAGCATCCTTTCGAATAAAATCAAAATCCCTAGACAAGTAAAAAGAAACCTATTTGACAAGCTTATAAACTTAGACACGTTTCTAATTTTAAAGGATATCAGCTCTATCTGGTCAGTAAAGAAAGGGGCCTTAAAAATGTTGAATCTTTTACTAACCAATAATAGACTTTGGTACTTTAGATGAAGTTTCCCCTTCAGTCAAAAAATAACAACCCCGAAAGAAACAGTCAGAGGATAGATCAAATCTTAATGCATGCTTTACTAATGCGGGGTAAAGTCTGTTAGTGCTGATACCATAGTACTGAGTTGCTTTCGCTGAAGTTGAAACAGTTTAGTGTTTTTCAATTTCATCCAAATGCGTCGTTTGATCTGAAAAGGATGTTTATCTATTCAGGCTTTCATTACATATCACAAAGAAGAAAGAGAAAGTGCATACCATGTGCCTGGGGAGTGCTCGGCACTGATGCACCAGCGGAAAAAACACCTAGGAGGGTGTTTCATCGATCATAAGGATTCAAGTCATGGAAAGATGGGCTCTATACTGTCTTTCATTAAAGAAATCGGACTTGGAGAGAAACTCTAACCCGAGTAAGGGGCATAATAGATCTTTTAGGTCGCAGTGCACGATTCCTTCTATTAATTAATAATAATAATTAATAATACATGTCACAGGCATTTTATTTAATTGTTAGTTTAGTAGTTGGACGAATACCAATATTCCGAAACAGAATATTTATTCCTGCTTTAGTAAGTTTGTCTGTTTTCAAGTTGCCCGAAAGATGTCTGTGTTCTTAATGCGTGGACATGAATAGATGAACAGGCAGATGAACAGATATTAACTAGAACTTTTTGTTCTGATATATACGATTTAATCTGCATTTAATTCACATTTTGTAGCAAACTTTTGCTACTAGTCCTCTTCGATTTTACTGATAAGGCATTGCTTTTAAGTTCATCACATCTAAAAAGTGTTTTTACACCGGTTAGGTAATATTACCTGATAATATTCTATATATGGTATGTATAAACCTTCGATTTTAACGCAACAAGAAATTACAATCGACATTACTGTCATTAGGCTATCAATTTATTTCTTAAATTGAATTTTTACAAAAGCGAATAACACCTGCATTGTCACAAATCACAGTAATTTATACAAAAAGGACACCACATAAGATTGAGTAAAAATGCAAATAATGATACATCAGGAACCATCAATTAGTGAAAATGTTCTACTGCTGCGATTAAATTGCCCTCCTTGTGGCATTCTTAAGTGTTTATTGCCAAATGAATTCAATAGCCTCCAATTGGTATCGAATTTCATTGCAAACAAATCACAATTTGGTTCCAATTAACGCTAAGCACCACTTAAGTAGTATTTAAGGAAGAAGAGTCCTAAACAGAAACTCACAAACAATCAGTGCGAGCAACGAATACGAAGACTCGAAGTCAGTTGAAGTGCGCTACACTTGAGTATATCCGTTTCCGTTTCGTTGACGCTATCAATTGTTTTTCTTGTTGTTTTTTGTTGAGCTGCCAAGAAGTGAAGTGCCTGAAAATGCCAAAGCCGAGTTTAATTGAAGAAAATCCGGTACTCTCGATAAATGTGAAATTGTGGAAGTTTTTATCCGTAATTCTGAAGCATAATTGGCATGTGTATGTGTTTGTGGCGCCCGTCTGTCTCATGAATGTATTGCAGTTTGTCTATTTGTACCGGGTATCCGACGATTTAGCTCCTTTCATACTGAATATGTTTTTTGCTTCAGCCATATTTGATGCATTACTGCGTACGTGTCTCGTTATCTACAATCGGAATAAATTCGAGGCATTCATGTTGGAACTGGCAAAAATGTATCAAGAAATTGAAGTGAGTCTCTGTTTTTTTCTACGCTATATCATATTCTTTTGCAAATTAAAGCGCTTTCAGTAAAAAATTAATACCTTATGTAAACAGGAAAGTAATGATGCTTTTGCTAAAGGCATCCTAAAGGAAGTGGTAACAGCAACGCGCAGGATATCAATTTTCAATTTAACAGCTTCCTTTTGTGATATCGTTGGCGCGCTTCTGTATCCGCTTTTTAGTGAGAATAGAGGTGAGTTTGAGGTTTTTTTTCGACTCTCTGGTTATTTTAATTAAATATAGCATGAAATTTCATATACGCATCCTTTTGATTACAATTCATTTAAAAAATAACATTTGTATTCAAAAATGTATACCATTGTAAATTAATACTCCTTTTATTTTTAATTTTTTTTTTTTTGAAAAAAAATTCATTGCATATCTAACATATTTTAATATTAATTTTATATAAAAGAAATTTAATATTTATGAAACTTTAAAAGCATAGAATAACTACAACTAAAAGCCTTTCCTTTTCTTTTAATTACTCAATTTACAGTGCATCCTTTCGGTGTTGCCGTACCGTCGGTAAATATGACCCAGACTCCTGTTTATGAAATTTTTTATATATTACAACTTCCCACACCGGTGATACTGACGGCCATGTATATGCCATTTGTAAACCTTTTCGGAGCTTTCGCCATGTTTGGCAAGGCGACACTAACCATTTTACAACATAATTTAAAACAAATTTGTAAGGACAACGAAAAAAGCGAACATCAAATGTACGAGGACTTGATAGCATGTATTTTATACTACAAAAGGATTGCTAGGTAATCAAAGGCTAATTAGCAGTGTAAAATACAAACAGTCTCAAAACAGTTTCAAATGCTCAAATGTCCTTACAGGTACGTAAAGGACTTCAATTCCTTGGTTACTTATATTGTTTCCGTGGAATTTCTGCTATTCAATTGCATACTCTGTTCTCTGCTGTTTTGCATTAATATCGTAAGGCATTCCATAGATGTCTGAAATGGTATTTCTGTTGAATTTGTTTAATTAAAATCTATCTGTTCTAGATTAAATCTGCAACTCAAATTGTTTCTGTGATTATGTACATATTCACAATGCTCTATGTACTCTTCACGTACTATTGGTATGCCAATGAACTTTTAGTGGAGGTAAGTGATTACTAGGCACGAGCATATCCTATTTATCATAGGAATATTTGTGAAAATGCTATATACCTGCCATAAATGAATTAATTTCTCATTTATGTTTTTACTATACATATTTTTGTTTTAATTTTTTTTTAAACTTTCCCGCTTAACAATGTAGAGTTTGAAGGTTTCGGAATCGGTATTCTCCATGCAATGGTACAACGCCGACAAACGTTTCAAGAGCACAGTTTTAATATTTGGTGCTCTAACCCAGAAGCCATTACGGGTAAATTTTATATAATATTTCTTATACATTTAATATACGAATGGCTTATTTATAATATTAAATTTTATAAATTTTCCAATTTATAGCTAATGGTTGGAAACGTTTATCCAATGACTTTGGAAACATTTCAATCTCTATTGAATGCCTCATACTCGTACTTTTCAGTATTGCGTGGAGTTTACAATTAAATCAAATTTTTATTATTTTTAAATGAAATCTTGCACCGTTTTGTGTTGTATAATGAAGGGAAAACAAACACTCTAAAAATACAAGGAATTTAAAAAGGATTTGGAAGGATGAAATAGTTATATCAATATTTGAAAAATTTGTTTAGTAAAATAAATTAGAAAGTATCACTAAAATACGATGAGTATCAAGCAACCACATATTTGAATTAATTTATATATCTATAAAATGATTAAAATGTTAATATATAGGAACCTGCAAAGGACATGAAATAAACTCATTCGGAAGAAAACAAACTCGAACAGCATTATTTGAACTTTATTTATCAATAATTATTCAATCAATCAAACAAACGATTGTCTGCCATTCGAGCTATAAAGTCAGACGGTCGTTCTTTTAATTTGGTTACACTTCATATTATGCCTCTGAAGTAACCAAGACCGATCAGTTAACAAATACAACACTGAAGAATATACCAGACAGAATCGAAATATAATTGAATCGGTAATGGGTTGGGTACTGAGTTGACCATGTAACTCACAGATAATTGAGAAAAGATATGAAATTAAATAGAAGACCAACTACATATCAAAAGACTACGAGGTAATTGAGTAAACATAGCTTAGAATAAAGTAAAATAAATATGTAACTGAGAGTAGACCTAAGTCTAGTAGTGAAAAGAAATGGCTCAAAATTTATGATGATATATACAAATATAAAATAATTATTTTACTAGTACTAGTATAACATAATAATACACTATTAATAATTTATCAAGCATAGGGTTTATACTTGCATACATCCTAATATTCTTCTTCTTAATACTCTTCAACTTAATATTCAAAATGTATGCATATGAATACTATATATACAGCTACTACCTCTGAAGAAAAACAATTTGAACAATAAAGTCTTTTAAGGTATTTTGTAATATATACTGAATTAATTACTACTACTGTTTCTCTCTTAGTGGTGCATAGGGCTTCGTTTGTCTTATATGGATTCAATTTATTGTATTATGTAGTATCGATGTCTGAAAACTGATCTTGGAGGTTTGTTAAAGTAAACACTTTACATTAAAGATTATTTCCATAAGACTAGGGAAGGCTACATCATTATTTATAATAATATTGTAAAGGTTGTTCTGACATTCTATTATAAATATTAAAAATTCCATCATTGATGAGTGCTTAATCAAAAGTGCGCAGAAAGATTGACTAACTGATGTATATACCTATATAATATTTATTTAAATTGATTACAGAACTAGGATTCGTGCTATGCATCTACATTGAAGCTATTGAAGAAAAGTATAACGGTTTATAGATTTAATATTATTTGTGGAAAATTAATTAAACTTTCAGATAATGATTCTTTTCCTTAGTTAATAGTCAATGTATATACTATACATCAACAAAGTAACTAAACATTCGTTATAAGTGCTTCGTTGATTTAATTCATTTCCATCACAGCATAAAATCCATTAGAAAATTATACGTTAATATTCCTAAAACAATAACAATCACAATTGTAGCAATAATAACAACAGAAATTAAAGCAACAAAAGAAAATTGTTGGCCAAATGAAATCTTCAAGACTTACATTGATTCTTCATCATACCATTTGGAGTAATAAAAAGTTGCCGCAATCGTAAATTCTTGCAACAACTTCGATTTTCAAAGGAAAAGTGAAGGTGTTGCTGGATACTTTCCAGTCTTCAAGTAGCAATTTGCCTGTCTTCCTCCAGTTTAAAGACACTGGTTTCATTCAGGTCTAGTTATGGCATCGTTTGCAACATTGTTGCATTTATTACAGTTCATCGTTTGGCACTCGTTTGATATCTGGCATTTAGTATTCCAATCCAAAGAGGCAACTATGTAAATAATTGTTGTTGTAAATTTAATATCACTAATGCTATCGCATGATACCCGGCACGTATCTGGTTCTTTTTATAATAATCGTAAACAATACCATCTCCGAGATTGCCAAGAATTATAAACGAGTGGAAGCAATGGGGCTGACTGGTTTGGATTTACTCAGGCTCTTAACTTTAGATCTAAAAATTGTTAAGTGGGCAATTATTTAATAAATGGAGGCACAAACTTTGTTGCATGACGCATTCCTGCATATTTAATGTAGTAGAAAAATAAAAAATGATAACGAGTTAGTAATAATTTGATATCGTTTTCACTATATCGTTTTTGTCTATGATCAAAAGAAATTCAGTAGATATAATTATGATGTTGTAAGGGCAGTTTAAATTCAGAAGATTATATTCATGAAAGTTGTCTTAGTTTTACAAAATTTCACTTACAATATCCGACCTAAAAGGTGCAAGAATCGTGAAAACTTGATATGCCAAACTAGCCGATATTCAGTCACTTCTTAAGCTAAAAACGCTGTCCAATAAATTAAATACGTTCTAGATTATTGGTGGACTATAGCTTCAGAGGCAATCAGACGTTTCTGTGGCAGGTATTATTATGCACAAAAAACATGAGTGGCCACGTTTAGATTCTATCGATTCTACTGCATAGTGTCGCATAATGACTTTTCAATATTTTTTTCGTCTCTCTGTGGATTTGACTAAAGTTAAGGTTTGGGTAAAAATGTAAAATTGACCAATTTTTTTGATACTTGTTTCTTTTAAGCTTCAAGATTTGAATGAATCATGAAGAAAGATGACACAATGTTAACTTTTCTAAGATTATTGAAGTAGAAGATGAAGTACAAAAATCCTTAAGAGTAGAGTTAGGATGAAAGTTACAAAATTCCTTGCGGTTTTGACAGTCATCTATAATGAAAAATTCGCTATTCTTCCATCAGTAAATCCGAAGCTGTTCGAAGAAAGAAGAAACAGAAATATTAGAAATTCACTGTTCAAACTCTAACCTGGCAAGATGTAAGATATTGTAATATGATAATATAATATATCTGAAATATGGATATTCCAAAATCCCACATCCCACATCAGTCCTGCAGTTTGCTTTTGAAATTCAGAATCTCAAATCAATGTACTGAGATCCTTTAAAAATAATCTCCTATATCAATCGAGTGGTTTGGTTTAAATGTAGAATCTCATATCCAGTAGTAAGAAAATGAAATGACACCTATGCGCTTCGTCGATTAATGAGAATGTTGTACAATTATTAATGTAACTAATCTAGATGCTGTTATATTTATATTTGATTGAAGTCATTATTAATACCGTTTTTCAATCTTCAGTCACAGGAGTGAGAGCAACAGAGTTGTTATTTCGGAAAAATATTTCGTTTTGCAAGTTGTTCCTTGTGTCCATGTGAGTTTTTTGGAATTGATGAAATTATCTCTTTTCTGACCTCTTAACTTTTTTGCTATTAAAATATTACTAGTTCTTAAATACTAAAGTGCATGAGTTTAGTTATCGTGTCGTACATAAAAGTACATTTCAATTATTTTTGGAATAATGCACTTATAAGAAAACCAATAGTTCTCTCTAAATAAAAGTCAATGTCATTGCGTAAAGAAAAATTCTAGCCGACATTGATGTTGACAGCAACTTACTCCTTTTTTTCCAAAATACATACATATTCCATTTAAGTATACCATTGAAAGCTCCTTTAACCCTTTTTGCACTTCTCAGTCAACAATCTGTCATCTTGTGCTTCTTTGCAGTGATTGCTAAGTTGTCTGTGTTAGGGTTTACTGGTGATAGAATATATTAAATCAATAAAATTTTTGGACGAAGGGTACTGCATTTTAATATATATAAAATCTTCGAAGTATTTGAGTTTTTTCTATTTAAGTATTATGTATGAGTGTATTTATTTTTAGGATCCTTTGCTTTGTGAGAAAGGGTAGTAAATTTATTTTCATGAGGACTTACATTTTTAGTGTCATTAAAAAATTGATAGCTGCTCACAAAATTGAATGTATTCATAAAAAATCTATAACGACTATTATTACAATAAAGTTATAGTACATATATATTAGAAGATACGCATTATTTTTATATAAATACTTGAACAAAGAATTATTATTTCTAAGTATTGAAATAAATAAGAAAATTGTAATGTCCTATTTATACAGGACAATATCCTCGCTCTTTACTTTTCTGTCATATTTTAATTTAAGTAGCAGTTAAGTTAATAGATTTTATTTTTCATTAAAACTACTTAACGCTAAGGACTTTATGGCTTTAATTTCATTAACATCTTTTAGCTATTTCTCATAAATTTAATAATGAAACGAAGAGTAAGTATTTTTTCCTATTAATTTAATAGGTAAAACACTTGAAAACCTGAAACAAACGTTTTTGAGAAGCTTCAAAACTCATAAATAAAATGGCGCGCAACAGCGCTATATCCTCCAAAGGATGTGAGATGTTCCACAGTTGCTACAGCTACCGCCATTCCTGCCGTGTTCTCAGCACGGGACGTGAAAGTGAATAGTAAAATTGACGCATAGTTCATTTTATTATGAGGTGTCAAGTGGGGATTCTGAAGTTTATTTATGTCTAACCTGACAGCGAATATTTACCTTTAACGTTTATTATGTGAAACAATGACCGTGGCTGGGCTCAAGTATCCGCCAAGTGCAGCTAAGGTGATAGCAATTGTTTATAATGTAAATGAAACGTTTTTGAGAAGTTTTTTATATCAAGTTTTTTTTTTGTTTTTTTTTGGAAAATAAATAGCAGTTTAAAACCGACGAAGTTGTAACTACGGAAAGTAAAATTTTGCATTAATATTATAGGGGACTGTGGAAGGTAAGCGCTAGTACATCACTTCCTGTGGTGTAAGGCGAGTCGCGACATTTACTTGGAAAATATTTACTTCCTTTAGGCTTTTACTTTTTATAGCGGAAATATTTTTGTACTCGTTTTTTCAATAAAAGCCATTGGCAAAATTAATTTAGTAGTAAGTGATGTATATAACTTAATCTTCTTAATTTTAGATATTTTCATTTAAAGACGTGCTAAGTGAAAGTAGCACCATTAAATAGTTACTATATTAAAAATTAG